AATAAATACTTCAGCTGGTTACTATGAACGAACAGTAATTCATAACATTCTCCCCCTCAAAATTTAAACAATGTAATCAGCCAGGAAACTTTGTGGTTATCTTGATCTTTTCGGCCTTTCTAGAGGTTGGTTTTCTTCAGAGTCACGTTCGGGAATGAAGTTCGGTTGATAATCATAATTTGGTTGATAATGATAATGGTCTTGGATATCAAATTTTGGGTTGACATTTGGTTCTGGATTGATGTTTGGTTCTGGATTGATTTTCAGCTCTGGAATGGCATTCGGTTGTGATCCATCTCTCACCGGTTTAGAATTATCTTTTAGCGTTGGAAGGCCTTGGTTTTCTTATCTAGTAGACTTATATGCCCCCTTTGAGATAGCTGCTTCTAGGGGATACAGCCGACTTTCTTCCATCATTGTGTTTTACCAAGGCTTAATGAGGGTTAGCCTCCATCAGCTCTCCTCGTTTAAAGGATCAAATTTTGATTGCCAAATATTTCCTTTTAAAAATATCGGTCCTAGTTTCATGAGCCAAGCTGGCAGTGAGGTGCCATTGAGTGATTGCTGAAGATGGATGAAAACCCTTTCATGTGGCATAATGTTAGTCAAAGTGCAAAAAAGAGATCTTATGGAGTGCAATGCATCATTGAGTACACAAACGACAACGCTTGTTGATTGGTAATGAATTCCGCCCAATGAGAAAATGTCTCTACTTCAATATAGATTTGACTATGGCTAGTGCGTCCTTCTCAATAGAGGAATAACGTTTTTCAAAATCAGTCAACGTTTATGAAAAGAAAGCGACAGGTCTAGCCTTTTGACTTAACGTGGCAGCAATAGCAAAGTTTCCACAACTAATGGAGATACATCAATCACGGTGAGTATTGAATTTCCTATGTCTTGTTAAATTTCCTCAAAAGCCAAAGCTGGCAAAGAAAAGGGCTAAATAGGTAAAGAGTTGACATCAATTAGCAGCCAAATCTTGTTTGAGAACTTAGGAACCCACTTATGAGTAGTGAGAAAATATTCCTAATGCACGTTTTAATTGAGATGCATTAGCTGGCAATGGCAAATCTAACAAGGGTTTTCCGGCACTCTAGGTCTGCTTGGATATACTGGTAGCGAATTTGACATCCTAAGATTGATACAGGGTGGGGCAGCATAACTTCCTATTTTCAAAGCTTAATAAAATGTCAGACAAACTTTATTTGGTTTTTACAATTTAAGTACATTTGTAAAGTTTCGTTTCACGTAGTTTTCAAGAGTAAATCATGCAGGTGACATCCTCCATTCTAGATACATTGAGTGTACCGATTATTGGTGTTTGTCATTACCTTTCAAGCGTAGCAGGCATTATGTTGCCAATTTCTTCCTGGATGTTGTTCTTTAAATCTTGAAGAGTCCTTGGACGGTTTACATAAATGCGAGACTTCAAAAAACTCCATAGAAAAAAATCGCAAGGGGATAAATTGGGAGATTGAACCGGCCATTGCAAATCACCCATGATTGAAATAAGGCGTTTTGACAGTTCCTGCACAGTCGCCATCTTGTATGGATGGAAATATAGGTCATCATGGGGAACTCTCGTTACAAAACGATCAGGAAGTCAAAGTGCAGACTCAAGTTTGCACGCTGGATGCCTTGGTGATCGCAACATTGAAGCTCTCACTGCCTCAATGTTCTCAGGTGATCTAATGGGCCATGGGACTCCGCAGTTTTTCGTTTTGTTGCACTTGCAGTTTGTCTAAACGGATTGACCCACATAACAATTGATTTGCGGTCTGAAACAGAGGCCAACTGGGCTAAATTAAACCGATTCCAAAAGGCTTTCAATTTAAAAAAGGGTCACTTAACATCCACTCAAAAGTAGGCCTCAGCGGCAAACGCACGCTCTCGTCTGTTCCAACGCATAATGGCGACTAAACTGTGCAAGGACAAAACTTTATGGCCTCGCCTCTCAAACGAGACTGCTAGCTCTTCGCTATGACATGAACAAACAAAATTGTGCACATTTAAAAAAAGGAAGTTATGCTGCCCCACCCTGTATTATACCTTGAGAAAATTTGCTTTTCTCATTGTTTAGAGTAATAATTATATTTCTTAGCTACCTTTAAGAATTCATTCAGCCTTTCATCATGTTCTGACTGAGTTTTCCTGACTACAGTTATGTCATTAATCAAAGCACACACTCCTTCTAGTTTTTCAGTGGGAATAATCTTATAAATCGTGCACTGGAAATTGGACACACCATTTGTCATACCAAATGGAATCCTAAAGAACTGATAAAAGTTTTCCTGCTTCCTCAAATGCTGTGAATATTTTTTTGTATTCCGATACTGGTAATTGTTGATAAGCCTCCTTTAAATCTATAGTACAGAATACTATATTTTCGGCTATTTTACTAGCTATGTTTTCAATATAAGGCTTAGGGGTAGGCATCTATAGGGTGAACTTATTATAGTTTGACAGACAATAATCTAATACTAATCGCTTTTTATGAGATGAGCTTTTGGTAACAAGCACTTTTGCACGCCAGGGAGATGAAATTTCTTCAATTATTACCACTTTGAAGGAGTTTTTGCACTTCAGAGTTGACAAACTTTTCATCATCATTAGAATACCTCGAGACTTAGTTGCAATAAGCTTGCAGTCAGGTGATAGATTATGAAAAAGGCATGGTGGTTCTACAGAAGCACAAGTGACATTACAAATGGACAGAGATAATTTATCTCCTCCAAAGTCTAGGTGCGCCTCGCTGAGTGGCTGAGATCGCAGGCGGCAGACTTCTATGATGAAGGAATTTCAAAGCTTGTCCACCAGTACGATAAGTGTCTCATTTTGTTTGGCGACTACGTAGAAAAGTAGTATTTTAGTTGCTCTTTCAGATGTAATATATTTTTGTATTGTACTTATTTTTTAATTTTATATAAAAAGTTGAAAAGTTCCTTACTTTCTGAATAGCCCTTGTATAAGTTGTTTAGAAAACATTTAAATTATTACCCACCCTCATCTTTCATTCATATTTGAGTTAATATGAGCAAAGCTGTGTCCCTCCATTTAAGTGGTTAACTTATCTAGTGGTTTACATAGTTTCATCTTTACAATCCATATTTGGATATTGATTCTTAAAACCAAAAATCAATGTTGATTTAATATCCACCCCTGTCTTATCGTTTTAAAAAGCATTCGCGAAATATTCCTCGATGTTATAACAACAGTCGTGTACCCAACTCTGAAATTTGGCACAATAAAACTTCTCGTTTTACAAGAAGAAAAGCATAATTTGCAACCTTATAGGTTTATTTTAAAAGTACATTTTCTAAATGCAGCAGCTTATGACTGTTCTTAATTTTACCTTTATTTAAATTATGAGTAATAAATAGAGAAAACTTACGTTTTAATGACCACCGGTTAAATTTAAAATTTTGAAACTCATCAATAAGTTATAGTATAAAATAGAACTTATTATAAACATTAAGTACTTTTGAACAATAATCCTATTAATTATCTACTTTACATGATTGTTACTTACATGATGAAGCAAGAGACAGTAAAGAAATAGAATACATAAAAAAAGAAAACATGTTGGTTACTTTATAGAACAGAAATCCACAACTGATAACAATATTGTTATTCCTCTATATTAAGCATTTAACTAGCAATAAACAAACCAAGAGTTCAATCTCTTAAGCTGGGTGTAGAGTACACTGATAACATATAAATAAGAGTGTGCCAATTGCCAATCAACATCTCTCAACTGTCAGTTCTAACTTGTGTCATGTGATAAAATGTAATCAACTCACAATCCAAAGATACCTTTAGTTTGCAATTATGTTTGGAAGTGTGGCAAATATGAATAGTACACACTTATGCGGAACCATTAAAATAAATTAAATCTACAATGTGATTTAAACAATTTGTGCCCTATTTTATTATAGACCAATTTAGCAATCTGACTTGAAAAGCTACAGATGAACTACGTCTGATGCCACTGGTTTGACAATATATCAATTTACCTAACTAAGCAGGTTTTGGTTTGCTCTCCTCCTTACAGTAACTTCGATGATTCTTTAATATAGCCAAAATGTTCCAAGAAATTAAAAGTCTGCAGCTGCTTAAGTCTGTCCTTTGAATGAGATCTTGTTCCCTTAACTTCCTCAAGATTAAAGGCCAATTAGTATTTTTCTTGCTCTCTCCACGAAAGAGTAGTTCACTCACATATATATGATTATATGATTTCCTGCCTCAGAATAAAACAATATTTTAAACTAATTTAAATCAAGGGCTCCTGAAAACTTAAAGAACACTGAAACTGCTCTGTTGAGGATAACTCATGACACATGCATTTCTATGAATGGTAGACAATGTAATAGTATATTTTTTTTTAACTAGGGTGTAAAGTGACTCTTTTCACACAAGCTCAAGTTTCTCGACCTCGGCAAAGAGGGGGGGTTGAAAGGACACTTTTTGCCTGAGTGATGTACTACATTTTTCATCATATTGCATCATTAATTAACACACTGAGCTAGAAATCAATAGTTATTTGTGTAACTAGTGAGCAAAGTGGCACTTTGCTGCACTCGAGAGCAATGTTTACGCACAAGCCGCAGGCGAGTGCAAAATAATCTCGAGTGCAGCAAAGGCCTTTTGCACTTGTGTTACACATTATATTTTTCTTACAGTCACTAAAGCATATAAATAATTAGTCTTTCAAACACTATAGCCTACAACACGTTTTTAGGTTAGGTTAAACCCAAGCCATGAACGGAATGGGAAATACTGCAACAGATGATTGTAGTCGTAGTATCTGTAAGTGTTACTTATTTTCAAGAGTATAGTATAAACACATAATAAACAGTAAATTTGCTGGACTCCAGCTGACTTTATTGGTCCCTTTCTGTAATCAACGACTTTCTTGTATAAGATTACAGACACCAGTCACTATCTGTGTAGTATGGTAAAAAAATATAAAATCATTTGGCAAAATATGATTTTATTACCTGCCAGGTGGCACCAGCAGCCAAGCAGTAGCTGAGGTGCCCATGTTGCCTGCGCTGCTGCCCGCATAGCTGGCTCGAAATCACACAGAATGGTTGTTGTTGTTAAGTTGGGAATGTTCTGTCTTATCCAGCCAAACACTCTACGATAAGCAGCTTCGGTTTTTCTCGTCATAAGGACAAAATCAATTGGGAAAAGCTGAAATAAAGCCTACAATGAACACGATATAGAGTGTATGAATGTGAACACAATGATAAACATGTCCCTTGCGTGCATTCTACCAAGAAACAGGCCCAAAGAGATTTTTTATAGTTTCATAATGAACTAGAAGCATTCAGAGTAATAATAAGAAATAGCCTAAATGTAACTAATTGTTGATATTTGTTAAGATCATTTGCCATAGGTTGTGATTTCACATTTTCAAGTTAGTTGCCACAAGTTAATGTTGAAAACTCAAAATTCTTATTATAAATTTAATAATAAGTAAACAAATAAATTGTATGGTTATTTTTCTCTTTGTCATAAAATGGCATTGCTAATTTAGCTCTTTTTACACAGTTAAATAAACTATAACGGCATTCAACTTACATGTCCATCACGCTCTGTATGAATATTTAATAATTGTGTTGCTCCTAGATTTCTAGGGACGGTCTTGAATGTAGCATCGATGTGGAGATGAGATGGTAGGTGTTCACCAGGCGAGCAGCCAGCCAGCCTCTGGGATAGATAAAAAAATAAATAATTTATAATTTATTGTCATAAAACAATTAGCATTTACAAAGTCATACAATACAGTCATAGACAAACATTGTCACCACGATATGCAGCACACAAGAGATGAGAAACGCCTCATTTACACAGAATAATGCAGGGCCGCGTTAAGGGTCCGTGGAGCCCTGGGCAAACTCAAAAGCAGCACCCCCCTCCCTTTTTCCTAGTGCGGCCGGGCATTATAGTTGTACCGCGCCCGGCAGGCACCCCTCAACCACCAGCGCCCCTGATGGGCATTGTCAAGAAATAATCTTTATAATTGGTCTGTACATAAACATATTGTTAGAATTTAAATTAATATAGATGCAAGTTGTTGCCTAGCAACAAGATATAGTTCGGCCGCTTAGAAAACGACCTGCGCGCTAATGCTAAACCAATGCTGGAGGAGGTCGTTTTCTAAGCGGCCGACCTATATAGTTTGTGTGTTTTGTGTTGTTGGGCTTGTTTCATGGACAAGAGTTTACCTAATATTTTATTGTTAAAATAAACTCAGTTCTATAACTCTGTTGTGTTCTAGCTTCTATGACAGTAACAGTAAAACCATAAGTAAATACTCTACAGGCATATATGCCCAGTCTGCCCGTTTATAAAAGCAGGCCTGGAATAATGGAAGTGAATAGTCATTATAACCAACTAAATCCAACAGTTGTTTTGGTCTATTGGTTGACACTACTTAAAAGTTAATACAAGGCATATTAAAATCTATATGAGAATAAAATGGGTTCTCCAAATTTTGTTTGTCAAGTATCAAGTAAGTACTATATGGCACAGGTATAGCTGCTAGTTTAGTCATAAGAAAAAATACCCTTGATGGGTAGACACCAGCTGTCCAATCTTCCTCATTTCCCCCAATTGTTGTTTGGAAAAATTGTGAATGTCCTTCCTCAGCCAAACAGCAATTGAGGTGCCCCCACTCCTCACTGTGAAGGATATTGCAAAATTCCTCTAAACGGTTGGGGATTGTAGGCAGGCCCAGGTTTCTCTGACGATAAAGAGCAGACCTCATCCCGGGGAACCCCACTCTTACGGCTGCTAGAGGAAATCTGCAATACAGTTCCATTGTGAGTTTGACAGAAAAACAATGAAACACATGAGTGTAAGGTCAAATAATTACTGAAAACAAATTATTTCTGGAATTTGATAATGAAAATGTCAACCGGAATAAAATGTTTAATGGTGAGAATTGAGGTAGTATTTTAACTAATTTTACCCATCATTAACTTACCCAAGTAACTTTCAATTATAGGCCTACCTTACTGCTATGAATCATAGAACAGTTGTCCTCCTTCTGAAGAAAAACCGCTAACATTATCCTTGCTATACCTGTTTTGTAGATTATGTATGTTTGTTTTGTCCCAAAATCTGTTATTTCTTGTTATTCATTCATAGATTTACTGTTGTTAATGTTTCACGTAGAAGTTATTGTCATCATAGTTTAATACATTGTTAAATCTTCAGGAGATATCAGTTGTTGCTATACTTTCTTCTATGCTATACCTTTTCTTGATGTTCTGACGTATTTGCACATCTACGTGAAAATACCTTTAATTTGACACATCAAACGTTAAAATCCGTCAAGCCGTTATCGAGTTATGACTGTGAAAAGAAAACTGCTTGCGTATTAATATATAGATACTGTAACTTTGCCAGCATCTATAAAATATTAACGTTTGAGCTGTCAAATTAAAGGTATTTTCGCGTAGATGTGCAAATACGTCTCAGAATATTAAGAAAGAGGGAATCACTTAAGTACAGTTAAGGGCTAAAGTTTGGGAACGGCAGCACCATCTGTTGACATTTGATCAATCCCAATTCCCTTTGTTTACACGGCCTGGTAGAATTAATTGACAACGTCGCAAGTAGGGTTGTTTAGTGTCAGACGTCCCATAATGGTAGACAGGAGACATCAGCTCATTAATTCCCACTTTATTGATAAAAATAAAAGTTTATGAACATAAATTTATTAAAATATTGAAAATAAAACGTACAGGATTGAAAACCAAAACAATATGAATTGAAAATCTATATCTGTACATTTAAAGCGGAGTCAATATTGTCATAGGGCCTAGTCCAGTAACCAAGCTTTCGTAAATACACAAATGAAATAACATTAGCTTGTTCCAAAACAAAACAGCTGTTAGGCCTACAACCCTACTTAGGAAAAAATACTCACTGTTTTTAATTTATTTATTTATGTGTGTCTTGTTTATGTAACAGTTAATATTAATGCTGTAGCCTTGAGATCACATTCACATAGTTATTTTACTATAGACTGTCAGCCGTGCTGCGGTTACCATGGTTACCATAAGTTCCGGCGCACACCGCTGTAGTTTACGTAGCGCGTACGCTGTAACTACCGTGGCGATCCCAGCGGTGTGCGCCAGAACCTTTGGTAACCGCAGCACAGCTGACGGTCTATATTTCATTCTTTTTTTCTATGACTAGACATAGGAATAATTTAGAGTTACCTTTAGTCAGGCTAACAAAGTCACAAGAATCTTTTTCTTATATATGGTTAAAGATGTTTAATCGTTTGCCAGCTGAGGCACACTGTGTTGATCTTAAGTTATTTAAAAGTAAACTTTTTTGCTGGTTATTAAATCACCCTTTTTATAGTTTAAGTGCATTTTTCATGTCTGACATTGATATTAGTTTTTAGTTTCTGACTGATGTAGGCCTTAAATCTGTGTAACTTACTTTGTTGTTTAAATTATTTAAAGTAGCCTAGTTATTGAATGTTATAGGCCCTAATGCTAACCACTGGACATTTTATCCTTGCAGATTACTGAGACTTCTTAGCCTAAGTTACTCTCATATTGACCTCAACTATACAAAATGTTCTTTTTGTAATTTGTTGTAATAAATTCTTGATTCTTGATTCTTACGACATTGCAACTTCGAAGCCGCGGCCTGGACTTAAAGGCGGCCATAGGATAGCGCATATCAGGCTGTTGAACTTAGGGTTGCCGCATCGAATCCCACCGGAGACACTAACTTTTTGTCAGAGATTTAGCTTAGAATACAATTTCTTCTTGGCTGTACATCTTATGTTTGAGTTTCAGGCATTTATAATTTGATCTTTATGAACATACCATTAGATTATAAACCTTTTATTACGCAATTAATATAAACCTTTTCAATCCTAAACCATCAAATCTATATAATTAATACGCTACATGAAACTTTGTCGGTTGAACTCCTCCGCCATTTCTTAACCGATTTTATCCATTGACGTCTCATTGGAAAGAGCGGGTCGCGTAGATTTGCAAACTGGCCTTACATTTTTGAAAAAGTCCTTTGGGCTCTGCCCCAGTGGCTTTGAAAGTTCCCATGTCATCCTTATGAAGAACATAATTGTTTACATTTTGATCAGCTGTATTATTTAATTGCTGTTATTTATTTTTCAGTTCAATTGAGTACATTTATTTACTGTTTGAGTTTGTGTAAACATAACCCCCAAGACGGATCGTGATAGCATGATTGTATCTTAAATTTGTGTATTTATCGTTGTTTTGTGTAACTATAATTTGTTTATTTGTTGTTTTTTTTTTTAATGCCTCCGACGCGACGACAACGAAACATAGACAGGAGGCGTAATCGTGATAACGACCGCAGCTACAGAACAGTGGCGCGTAAAGGCTTAACTCATCACAGTCAGCACCTGACCCTGGACAGTCTCAACTATTTGGTTACAAATGCCTAAAACAACACTATCCCAAAACAACTTTTTGTTCCCAATTGGCCCTCTATCAATGACCTGTGTTGCATGCATGGTTGCATGTACAGCGAGGCATTTTGAGAAAGAGAAAAACGGCCGGAATGCTTTAGGTTTATCAATAACGAAGATAAACATTGTCTGAGTTACACACCTTTAATCTTTGAGTTGACTCCTTTTTTAAACTCATTGTAAATATGACTGTTATTCGTTTTGAAATAACACCTGTAATACTTTGCAATTGCTCGAATTTGAGCAACATGTACACTAGTATAAAAAAATACTCAAGACAAATAACAACTAAATCCCTCTCTGATGTAAAACATGCACTATCAAACGTGGACTGGTCAATAGTTTATCAATAGAAATGCACAGAGGAAAAATACAATACATTCATAAGAACCATCGTGGAAATTATGCAGGAACACATGCCAAAGACCTACACAACCTTAAAAAATGGCAATAATATGGCGTATATGAATTCATTTATGATGACAATATAAATTAACTACGACAGGAAATGAAACATTCACACCTAAAATACTTAACAACAAATAGGCCTGAGGATAAAACTACTTTTACAGAAACAAAAAAGAAGTATGACTCCGAAATACCTATGATGCCGAAATAGAAAACAACAAGTAGAAATAGGCTATAAAAAAACAACATTGAGCTTAAAACCAAATCTAAACTTCAAGATATGACCCAAGGAATTCCACAATAAGGAAGCATCCTCGGCCCCCTCCTATTCATCATATATATGAACAATTTTCCAGAAAACCTGCAAACAGGAATGGACTGTATTAGTTTTGCCGATGACACCACAGTACTAATCCCTCGATATCATCACCTTATAACTAACGGAGGAATAGAAAATATTTTATAACATATCGAACAATTCTGCAAATCAATAATAGACCTTAGAATCAATAACGCCAAAACTGTTACAATAGAATTTTCCTGCAAATCAAACCCAAACAAAGCCCCTTTAAGGTCGATTCACACACATCAGTCCAGTCACAGTTCCGTTACAGGGAGTATGTTTTATCTATGGTTACAGTCCAGTTACAGTCCAGTCACAGTTCCATCCGCAATTTCTCAGTCAATTGTCCGTCAGTTGGTTTCAGTCAGTCTTCCGTCTCTAAAATTCACAGTAATTTATAGTCAAAATTTTTAAGTTATAACCCTATATTCTATCAAATTATCATTGTCCATCTTGTTGATTGTTACAAACAGTACTCAAAATACAAACGCAACCATTTAAATAACAATAACACTATTTTCTAACCTCAAACAGTTCCGTCAGGCGTCCGAACAATCAAAAAGTATCGTTGGAAAGAAATCTGAAATTGACTGACGGATGCCAGCAGAGTGACTGACGGGACAGCAACGGATGAGTGTAGGTAGATAGCGCAATAGAAAATCCATCAAAGAATATTTTTGTTATCTGTGACGTGTCTGGGGCCCTATTTTTGAAATGGTTGACTGTTGAGTTGAGTGTCGAGTCATTCTATTTCCAATCGTTTCGTATTTTTGAAACGATTGACGGTGGACTTATAAAGCCCCCCACACACTACCAGACCAGACCTCCAGACCAGACCGTCTGGTCTGGCGTCTGGCACTTGTCTTATCGTGTGTGGGGCTGTCTGCAGACCGATTTTCTCGGACCAGACTGTCTGCGTGTCTGATGGTTGAACCCTCAGACCACAGACGGTCTGAGGTTCCCCCACCACTATTTTTGTCTGGTCTGTGAGTGTGTAGCGCTGTCTGTCAGACGGCCGACCATCGTGACAGTCTTCATCCATTTGTTGGAGTTCTTACCACCGTCTCTCAATTACGAATGTTAGACCGTCTGGTCTGGGAGTGTGTAGAGCCGTCCAAGACGGTCTGGTTGCAGCCAGACGGTCTGGTCTGGTAGTGTGTGGGGGGCTATACAACCAAAACTACTCAACACCTATCGAGCTGTTGAGTGGAGGTTGACTGCACTTTCTTCTTCCTCTCTTTCGGCAAAAATTACTCTTTTTGTGTCGACGCCATATTGTTTTGTTATTGCTTTAAGCCCCCCACACACTACCAGACCAGACCTCCAGACCAGACCGTCTGGCTACAACCAGACCGTCTTGGACGGCTCTACACACTCCCAGACCAGACATTCCAATATTCGTCTTTGAGACACCGTGGTGAGAACTCCAACAAATGGATGAAGACGGTCGGCCGTCTGACAGACAGCGCTACACACTCACAGACCAGACAAAAATAGTGGTGGGGGAACCTCAGACCGTCTGTGGTCTGAGGGTTCAACCATCAGACACGCAGACAGTCTGGTCCGAGAAAATCGGTCTGCAGACAGCCCCACACACGATAAGACAAGTGCCAGACGCCAGACCAGACGGTCTGGTCTGGAGGTCTGGTCTTGTAGTGTGTGGGGGGCTTTAATTTACTAATTGCGATTTAGAGGTTATGTATTTGTTGTCAATGTCTTAGCACACAATACTTTATGTGATTGTTAATTTTATTTACTGTGTCAATACTAGACTATTTAATCTATTTACTTTGTTATAAGACTATTTAATTTGTTTGAAATACACTAGGCATACTAATTGAACTTATTAAAAGATAATTATTGTTATTAGACCTATGATTTAAGGTATTAAAAATTGTGGTAGAGAGAAACAATATCATAGTTTGTTTCAATACCATTCACCTAATAAAG